GTTACAGACAGTTAGACAATTAAGAAGGAATGGTTACTACTCAGGAATTAATTTGCTCTCCTAGCAGTTGCCCTATGACCTCGAATAACTGAAAGACGAACTGAAAAAAGAAAAAAGGTGAATGAATATGAAATCTGAAATAAAAAATGCAGCAATTTACCCAAAACCACAGGTTTTGCAGCAGCTCAGAAGATCATCCGCTGAAAGTGTTACTTGTTTCTTTCCCTTCGACATAATGCAAATCCGATCTGACATCGCTTCCACAGCAGCTACTGCCCAACATGAACCTGAACTACTTTTCAAAATATAGATATCAAATATTTGGAGCATCTGCGCAGAATCGAAAGACCTATATCTTTATATTCGAAGGTGCATTTTGTTAGAATGAGAGTCGTAAGTTTTACCGCAAGAAGACTGATCCCGGACATTTCTAAGTGAAGCACATTCTGGCCAATGTTTACGAGCATCAAATGATTCCGGAATAAATATAGTAGAGTGTCGCGTTGGTGACAGATTCTTCTTTCCATCCACCGATTGTTTCATGTTATTTACACCAAGCAAACCGTATTTCACAGTGTTGCTATATAAATTGAATTTATTCATTTCCGCCTGAAAATACACCCGCTAATGAACTTGGTGCAACCTTCAAACAAATCTACTGTTCTTTTCACATTTTATCTAATACTGACCCTCATTAATGATTTACCTTCCACAATGTTTGATGCGAATTGACGTAATCAATAAGTTCCTGGTCGGACAAATTTTCTGCTTCTGGAGCTATTTTAGTGTTTCTATACTCATCAACGACAAATCTGCAAAAATATTTAATATGCATTCTTGCAACCTCAAATCTAAGCGGGAAGCAGTACTTAAGTTAAATTAATTTGTAAAAAAAGACCATAATTTCTAGTCTCAGAAATTCCTGCTTTATCTATCTTTACAATTCACATCATGTGGAATTCTAATCGTAGCCAAAAATTGCTTACATCAGAATACACTCACCTCTTCTTTTCTTTCGAAGCCTGCCAAAGAGACTTCGTGGAACTTTGTGGATCATTGACCAACGCTACAGCTGTGGAATAGTACAAAGAAAGGAGAAAAAACCACACTAATAGTGGCAAAGGCATTCCGCACATTTTCTTGGAATTAAAATAAAATACCTGAAAGATTTGTTTGTTATGACTGTGACAGCGCACTATAGTAAATTGATGAGGTGAACTGATGAAATGAGAATGCTTCCATGATAAACTCATTTCCCAACAAATGATTCCCCACACTATGTTCTGATGTGACAGAATCATAGATCGGAGCGCTGCAACAAACTATTTGAATCATAGATCGGAGCGCTGCAACAAACTATTATCTTTGTTGTAGCCGTTATCTTATCTCTATAAAATATATTCTCAGCGAAAAAAAAAATGAAAAAAGTCGTAAAATTTTTTTTTTTAGAAAAAAAGGAAAAAAAGAAACTTTAGTAGCGAGAAATGTATTGTATTTAGGTGATTTAATTTGATGAAAATCTTGCACTAAAAATAAGCCACTGCGGTTGACAGCTCAATGATAACAGCCAGAAACTTTTTCTCCTAATTGTAAATTTTTTAATTCAAGATTGATGACATAAATAAGGGGCAAGCACTTATTCTTAATCCGCAAACAGATGGTTGCTGAAAGAAGATTCCGTTCTTCCTGGAATAGACGAACGAATAAGACTGAACAGTTTGCGTCAACTTTAATCATTTTGCACTTTGCTGAAGCATGTAATAATAACAAATGAGTTCAAACTATATTCCTATAGTTTCTATCGCAAATGTAAATAAAAGAGAAGGGCGGTCTTGGCAAGTTTCTGAAATTCATTGCAATAGTTGCAAAGGCTAAGAATCTAATCAGAAAAGCGCATGGGTTAATATAAATATGAATTTGAGTGTAAGTATCGTCAAACTTGCGCTTCAAACTAAGGAAATCGGTTGAAATCGGAATTGGAAATGAATTTATGAACTGCTACGACTTTCTAGTGAAAACATAAAGTGAAGAAAGAGGGAAAAGAGTGCAGAGGAGTGAAGTTGATTAACAGGAGGGGTTAAGAAGGCATCTGCACAACTATCATATTTGAGCCGTTGATAGACATCCGGAAATCGATTGATAGCTTTATAAAAGAGGGGGAGAATCGTGACCTCCAGTGCTGGGAATTATAATTTCAACGTCGTTCTCTAATCTGAACGACACAATAACAGTGTTTTGAGCAGCGAATAGCTTGTCCGGGATTTCCAGCAAAATTCGGGATAAAACCTTTCTGTTCTTTCTTGTTTTCATCAAATGTTCCAATTTGTACGGAGAGAAATCGGACAAAATGATTCTTTTCGTCCTAAAACAGTTCATATCATAGAAGTTTTTGTAAGTCGAACTGCCATGGTCTCTCCATTTAAATAAATTTAACTTTTTCAGTCTCAAAATTAAATTTATTCCGGTTTCTTAAATGTTACATTACTTCTATTAGAACGATTGCAGGTATTGTGCAGATATTTTACAGTGCTAAGTTTCAAGATCATTTAATCATACAGTAATATAAAATCACAAATGAGAAATAAAAAACGGAAAATATGTTTATCAGCGAAGTAAAAGATCGCGCGTAGAAGCCAACGGACGGAAAGATGAACTTTTAAAAAACAGAAAAAAATGACAAGATGATTTGAAAAACAATTGCTAAGTGAAAGATGGATTTAACTTTTAATAGCCAATGAGTAGATTTTAATGTCCAAAAAAAAAAAACCATAATAATATCAAGATCTTGTACTTGGGTTTTTTTCTTGAAAATTTAAGAATCCCCGAAGACGAGAAAGGACGACTGCATATGGAAAGCTTTTTCTAAGTACAAAATTTCTTACACTGTCAGTTGTCATAATGAATGAGTTAATACGGAAAGACTTGACAATTACTGTGGAATATGAGATCTGTAAATAATTTGAATTTGGAGAGCAGTACCTCTGCATAAAACTTATCCGAAACGAAGAATATCACCTGGATTATTTTTGGTTGGATCAGGTTTGAAAAAGAATTATTATCTTTAGGGGAACTGAAAATGTTAAGAGTTCTCTTTAAATATGCAGTATTTGTTAGTTTTATATGTTTTAACTGCTGTTAGTTCTTTCCTATTGTATAAAAAGTTCTCTGCAACGAACGGCTGCTTGCTCGATGAATTAGTTCAACAGGTGCCACTTCCCAGCTATCATCATTTTGTTCGTCGTTTATCCAACTCATTGAAGTTTCGTCCACTCATCCTTTTTGTATTGGAAGAAAATGCTTAGTGGAGAGCTACATTTAGTTGGAAGCCGCAAGAAAATATTGAAGGCAGGGTTCAAAGAACGTTTACAACTAATGGTCATTAGCGAAATCAACAAAAACCACAAGAATTTGTATTCTGAATGTTAAGTAGTACAAAAGTCCGATATGACTGACCACTGGTTACCTGTATCATTGAGGATGACTAGCAGGGTCATGAATTTTCCATTATCTTCGCTTTTGTGATACCCTATTAAATTTTAAGATCGCATAATGTTTGATTAGACCAAACAGCTATATTTCAGGTAGAAAATGACGACATTACTATTATGGATCAGTCAAGCAGTCTTCGTTTTTTTTCTTACAATTTTGTACCAAATATTGGTGAGCAATTCCTGAATTTCTTAACATACCTCAATAAAACACGCATAAGTCCCATAATGGTTCTCGGTTGTCCACTTCAAACGAATAATTTAGAAAAAAGTGCCTAATGTTAGAATGAGATGGATGTGAAGAAACATTCAAAAAACTATCAATGATAAAACTCCATAATTAAATAAAAATAAGTAGAAATATATAACTATAAAATTGTTTCATTTCAGTCAGGTGTTATAATTATCATTTCATTAGCACAGTGCTCACATAAAAAGCCTCAAGTTAGAGATCAGGAGGAGAAAGCTGAGGTAATACTGATCTTTTCATTACTTTCCAAACTATCAAAAAATGTTAAAAGATTTAACTTAATTTGCGATACTTGAAAATTTACTAATAACTAAGCAAAAAGTATTCCTTTTTTCATTCTAACTTCAAAATGTCAACATTTTGTAATTAATGAAATTCATCAATAAAACGAAAATACTGTTAAAATGCTTTTAAAATACACTAAGCACTCTATGTAGAACATTTGCTTTAAAAGAGGTGTCATTCAATACCAATGTCACATGTGAAATTGTAGGAAATAAATAATTAAACGTAATCCTTTTACCAATAATTTCAATTCATGTATGAAATACTTGCATTTGGGATAGTGTACTATCAATAAAATTCAATTGCAGTTCTTAAGTATTCTTTTATCTGCCTATTTCATTAATCATTCAAATACTGCTTGCCAAGGAAAATTGAAAAAGGAAGAAATGAAAGTAAGGCAGCACGTCATTCACGTTGAAGCGTTATGAGTAATCATACGATCACCTCTTTTAGATAAAGAAAGAAAAAATCGGAAATACTCCAGCACCAGAGGAGAAAATGGTAGAGAAACAGGAAAAAGGTAGCAATCCGAATGAAAAAAACAAGGCAGCACCGGAAGAACAACATACTTCAGCCGTTGAAGATGGTACCTGAATGTTGGATTATTAAAGTTCTGGTTTAAATATCTTTAAGAAGTGATCCTTCCTTAAAAAGCGTCGCTTTCTCATGTATTGATTGCGTGGTTGATCGCTACTCAAGAAACCATTATCATCCTGAAAGGGAAATCAAAGTTGTTTGATTTTAGTAGATTCAATTTTAATCTTAATTTTAGAAAAAGTCTTAATTCAGCAAAAGTCCTAATTTAGCCGAAAAAGAAAAAGAACGGTTAAAAGAGGTAGAGGAAAAACGCATTGAAGAAATAAAACCTAAAATAATGAAACGAAACGCTAAAGAGGTACGAAATTCGGTGTCTTCTTTGACCAAAAATCATTTTTAACATTCGCAGATTTTTGATAACCGGTGACCAAGAGTGTCACTTGAATGATACAAAGCCGCCGATCTTTGAATTCCTCAAATAAAAAAATTGAAATTTCAAGATTTTAAAAATTTCAAATACTTCAGCAGACTTGTAATAGAAAGAATGGAAATGTCTGACATCCGATATTTCATTTATCGTTCACTGTTATAGGAAAGAATAGCGAAAGGTAAGGAAACACGTGGCAAAGGCGATTATCCAACCATGGATGATGTATTGAGCGACTGGGATTCTGAAAGAGATGGTAAAAAAAAAAATGAGGTGAAGTTAGGATCTTGTAATCAACTGCTCTATATGATCATATTAGAAGTGAAAGCTGTTATGAAAAGGAATCAGAATCTAATTCTAACATCTTCAACCCATTCACCATTCTATGCGTTCTAGAATTTTTTAATCCTTGTCATAAGTGATTACACTCGGACGTTCTGTGCCAAGCCAGTCAAACTGGCTCTCATCTACTAATTTTATTATATTAGCAAAAATCAAATACCAAAATTAATCTCTACCAACTTATGAAACACTTGACTTCGAAAATTGTCATACTTCAGAATAAAAATCCAAAAAAAAGAATGATACGACAGTCAATAGAACCAGTCCAGGCTAATCTTTAACGATTTGGATTAGACTAACCAAGCAAATAGATATAGGGGACAAGAAATTTCATTAAATTTGTTATAGGATGATGACCAGAAATCAAGAGCCAACACAAATCTTGAAGACCTTGACGACCTGAAAAGGGTTGTACTACTATTTTCCTTACATTAAACAATAAATAAATCTAGTGAGAATTATGTAATTGTCATAGGTTAGCTATTAGATCTCGTGCTTAATCACTGCTTGGAAAATTGATGTTATAAGATGGAAAAGTTGGTGGTTTAGAGTCACAGGAAAATGTTTTATATGTCTTTTTTTTTTATCGGAATGAGAATCTCCTGGATTAAATCCATAATTTGCATGACAGCTATAAGAAATGTTTTGAGAACGAAGAAAAAAAACCAGCGGAAAGTGGTGGTGCGGAAGAGAAGAAAGAGGATGAAGGCGGTAAAATTTGTTATTTCTGTACCGACCGTTACAACAAAGCCTAGTTATCTCTATTTGCTGACAATTGAAGTAGATTACGACGTAAGATGTAATCTACAACAGATTACGTCGTAAGACCCTGCCCTTCATGATCTCGACTGAAGATGAATAAATATTGTTCGCTTTAAGGGATCCTACTTAAAGCTTTCAATAGTCCTGATGAAGACTGACCTTGACTAACCAATTCCTTGAAGGTGAGAAGAAAGGAACTGATAACAAAACGAAAGATGGTAGAGGTATTGGAAAATATGCTACAAAAGGCAGTAAAAGAGACAACAGTAAAAGCATTAAAAAAGTGGACAAAACAGCAGGCAGTCAGGTAAAGAGATTTCCATTTTTTAAATTATATCACAGATTTCATGAAATAAGTTGATGACCAACAAAGTGCAGGCGATTTTCTCGCTAATTTGGATCAACCATCTAATTGCTAATGAATAGTATTAACCACTTATCATAAAAATTATCAGGAGAAATGACGACGTCCCCTGTTTATTGCATATATATTCCTTGAATACTCTTCTAAAGTCCACCTATTCATTGACGAAGAATATACGACAATACCAACTGATCCGTCCGAATCATTACATTTTTCCTTATACGATTGTAAATTATATGTTCATAGTATGTAACAGAATGAAACGATCATTTCAGCGATACGCCAAATGTTCCTGAATTTGGATGAGATCTAGACCTAAGCCATCTGTCCCTTAATGATTTATCCACCCCATATTATTAATATTATTAAAATAATGCAATTAGAACTAATCAACTCTTCCGCATTACACTTCCTAATGTTACGAAATACCTTCCAATCTTAACTTTTATCATTTTCAAAACATTAGAATCAACAATAAAAGAAATAAAGGTTTGCAAGCTGCAAAAATCCAGCTGATCTTCTGCAATAATTAATGATAAGTATGTAAGCATACGGCGTCAAAATAGAGAGTAATGAAATTAGTGACAAGCTTTGGACTTTAAAGAGAAACTTTGGGAAGCTAAAATTTGAAGCACATTGCTAATAATCCTAAAAAAACTTGAAGATTATTGTGGAAATATTTGGCCGTAATAAAAGTACATGTTATTTAATACCTTGAAGGAAAAAAAAACTAGATTTTTACGTATTCATGAGCGGTCAAATTCTTTGTATGCTTACATAACGTAATAAGGTCACTTCATTGAAAGGAAGACGTTTGCATCTAAACATTGGGGACCCATTCCATTCATTGCTTAAAGAAGTTTAATTAAAGTTAGAAAAGGGAACAGTAAGTTTGTTAAGTTTGAAGTGGTAATTTCGATTATCAATTTGCCGGCCTTGCAAACTGACATATTTGGAGAAACTCGTGAAGTCATTGAGAAAGAAGGAAAACAAATTAAATACAAAAAACATAATACATTACAATAAAAAATAATAATAATGATCATAGCATATCAATGCAACACAACAAATGAATAAAACTGATAAAGTAGTTATTTATGAACATCGGAACGAAAAAAAGATTCTCCCTCTACCCTCAGTCTATGGCTACCCCTTCTTTAGCCTAGTTCAGGCCAAGTAAACTTTATTTTTTAGTGTACCTTTTAAAAATAAGAATAGCTAATTTACCTATTAATCTTCTTCAAAGCCTTTGTATAATAAAATTAATCACTTATCTCGAGGACTCAATTTCGAAAAAGCGAAAAACCAGGGAATAAGTTCTTTTTCAAGTAATATCAGCAGACCTAACGTTTTTTGGCGACTACTACACTAATTCTCCGAGGTAGAACCAACTTCTGTAAGAATGAAGGACCATCGTCAAAGATCATCCTACAATAAGGAATCAGTAGACCCAGGAAACTGGCATCCATTGTGGACAGGCGTTAAGCTTCTCCACAACAAGCTCCAACTGTCGAATTGTCTCATCAATGTCGTTATTCAGTATCACATAATCAAAAAGATGTCCGAATGCCTGCCGTAAAATTTCACTTTCACGCAGCAAACGTTCCAAACTACCATCTGGCTGTAATATTTTATTACTGATGGCTGCAAATGAGTTTTGTAAAATTTGAAATTTTGGAATCCTAAGAAATGAATGACACAGTTAACTTCTGTGACTTTTCGAGAAATTTGCGTTCGAAAAATCTTAAGCAAAAGGCCAATACTTTCGGAAAATTCTAGAAATAAAGGCACTGACACCATTGTAAAATCGTCTTAAAATTTCCAGAAATTTACAATTTCCGTTCAAAAACTTACATCTTGTAAGCCGTGTAGATTTGGTGCAGCGATAAAAACGACAAATGGAGCATACTCAGCTGTCCTAAGAACTTTTAGCGCCTGGAATTTGTTGGAATCTATGAGAAGAAAATATAGTAGCAGCAACAACAATGACATGGCAGAAAATCTAAAATTACTTGAGGTTCAACATCCAAGATAGCCATTTTTCCTGTCCTGTGAATATTGCGAATTGTTTCCAGTTTAGTACCATACATGCACTCCTCGTGAGTTCCATACTCCAAATACTCATTTGCCTGAATGTCGGCAAGCATGCAATCATTGGACACGAAATAGTAATGTTTCCCATCAATTTCGTCTTTTCTTGGTTGTCTTGTTGTATCTGTAACAAAAAAAAATTATGTAAATCCAAAAATGTTAAAAAGTCAATGAGTCACAAAAATACTCCTCCCACATGCATAGACCAGGAGTCAGGAGATGCTTCCTTCTCTCCCAAAAAGATTCCACTCGAATTCCACTCCATATAATCTTTGGGGTCAACACTAATATTCATCAGGTAATCTATTCAAAGTTTTGGCTTCACAGTTAGAGAATGATCCGGATACTTACGCGGTATAGGATAGGCAAACCTTTGTGGATGCCTATGAATAAGTGTATTTTTGATATGCCTTCGGCCAACACCATGAGCACCCAGCAGTACCAACGTTTTACGTCTGTAAGTTGCCAACCGTACCACCTAAAAAACACTCTTCTGAAAGTTAATCTTTCAATTCTCAATAAATGTCTTCGAAGGATAAAACTGAAATCTTGTCCTCCAGAAAGACAACAAAGAGTCAAAAGATTTAAGTGAAGAACGGAAGAGACAGTCTCTACCTCTTCATAAGTGACGAGATCAAGTTGATCGAATAAAGCGGAATGTTTCTGAAGATACTTTGTTGTATAATATTTTTTCTTCTTGTTGAACCACATACAATGCGCTAAATTAGAATTAATCATTGACGCTCAGAATTATGAGGTTGGCAATTTATAAATGATATTTAGCAGGTTCTGCATACAAAGCTCACTAGCATCTATCAAGAAAGGATCAGGCTGAACAACTCTTAACATTTGACGATTCTACGTTCTACTAGACATACAATCATGCTATCACTGGAAGGACCTGAGATCATGAGGCCTGTGAAGGATTCATTCTACATTTGGGTACTTCATGCTGGAGATCTGATGGTAACTGATGCTCCTCAATGTACCATATCATTTCTTAACACTTATGCCGAGGAATGGCCAGTAGTTCTTTTTTCAATTATAGAAACTTAGCGAATTCGCTAAACTAACTATTATCTTTAGCTCGTTCCATAGCCAAGCAAGCAGTTCTCCATTCTTGCAACTCTGGCGACGGTATTAAACCAGCAACGGAAGCACCTGGAGTATAGGTGCCACTGGGACCACCACTTCCAAGAGCTGGAAATTGAGAGATATATCGCGCTTGCCACCAGTTATGGTCATCTTTTGATATCACCTGGAATAATTTATTATCACCAAACTGCCAGTATATTTTTTCTTACTAAAACGGTTGCTAGTCCAGATGGATACATTAAAATTAATTAGTAATCCACATTTAATTTTTCCGCATTCTAATCTGTAAAAGCTTAAAACTGAACATAGTCAATAATATATCAATGAGACTTAGCAGCATTCATACCTGAAGAATGTCGCCAGTTTTAAATGGAACGCCAGCTTGTGGACATGGAATTAAGTCATCTTGCCCCGGATCATAGTCAAACTGCGCTCGGACAAATATCTCGCATGCTGGTGGTGCGCTGCGATACGACGGAACTATCTTGAATGTTACCGCACCACGCGCATCACGCAGCAATCGCTGCAGCATTTCAACGCTTTGGTTCAACACACTGACACCATTGATTTCACGAATTTCATCACCAACATGAAGAGTTGCTGCAATTCATCAGTAAGGAATGGGAGCAAAAACACTAAAGGTTATTGGGAAAAACTTATGTAACTACCAGAGAAGTTCGAATTTCGGGTTAAAATAGCTAAAAAATTGCAAGAATTTTTGGTTGGATAGTTTAAAACGGTATAGAAAGCTTATCGTTCAATATCTTAAACGAAGATTAGAATGGCTTCCTACTTCTAACAAATACTATCGAGACTAAAAGATCTTAATAAGATTAGAATACCGAGGAATGGAAAAATCCTTTTTAATTATCCTCAGAAGATCAAATACTTTCTCCTGATTAAGTTGGACGAGTAATAGAATCCACGTACCCTGCCTATGTATTAGTCCTCCATGCATAATTCTGGCAACTTGACATCGACCATCTTCCGTTACCTAAACACTAATATTCGACACTTTGGAAAAAAAAGTTTTTATGAAGAGAAATCGATTTGATTCGAAAAATGATCACAAGATGCAATGTGGAAATCCTGCAGTATCATATAACGAAAGCTTACTTTCAAAGTAATTCCCATTGGTTCGTCAGTATCCTTCTGAAACTGCACCAAGCGTACCCGACTGACGGAATCCATCATCAGATCGTCATCATCATTAAGCACCGGTGGCATAAACGATTGCGGCAATTCGTTCGCCGCAGTGCCAAATGAAGGTGTAACTGTCTGAGATGTTTGCGCTCGCAGTACACCACCGTTAAGATACGAAAATGGTAACTGTGATGATGTGGATGCCTATAAAATCGATACGATACAAATATGTTTGAAATCGATAGTCATAATAGGAAAGGAAATAAATTTTGGAAAAGTTTAGCGAGGAAAAGTCTGGAAGAAAGGGAAAGAAAGGGAAAAAAGAAAAAGAAAGAAACAAAGTCTCGGGAATAAATGCCAATATCTGATTAGTCCATTCAATGTGAATCAAAGTCAAATCAAATTCCTGAAGGCTCCTTAAGGTATTGACATGGCCGTAAAGCTGTTCTGATCAGAAAGGTAGCGAATCGAATTTATTATTCTGTGCATTTTGTGAAAGATACATGATGAACCAACCTGAACGGATATTTGTGGAGGCGCACTTTGTTGCTGATGCATTATCCTATTTCCCTCATTGCCACCCATTTCCACCGTGGCGCAATTGCCACTAGCACTACCCTCATAAATTTCATGAATTATTACATCGTATGCTTGCAGTACTGCCTAAAAATCCAATTTCAATAAAAGTCTTCTCCAACCTTCCTAAAGCATACTGAATTAAACGGTTTGAAAGCCGAGGAATCACCTTCATAGTTTTCCTTTTTCCTTTCAGAAAATGAAGCAGTTTAAAGCTCTACACGATTAGATACCGAATTCTGACGTCGTAAGCAGTTTTAATAACCTTATTAAACTAAAAAGGAGGAAGTAAAAGTAAACGTAGGTTTTATTAATTAAGCTTTAAACCTGGATTTCTTGGGATTCAAGTAATTGCCGTAATTCTTCTACTTCAGCTGAGGGTTGTAAGAACCCACCGATTTGTATACACAACTAAAAACATCCATCGTGATAAGAAATATTTAAAAATAAGTTTTGTAGGGGTTGAAGAATTTCAAAAAAAGACACGTCTGAGTAAACGGAAAAGCAATCAGTTTTGAGAGCGGTAAACAAACAAACATAAACAATTGAATATTAAAAATAAATCCGAGAATAATCAAACCTCTTTAGCATATCTGGCAGAATCATGCTCTAATATTAATGGCTGAACCGACAAATTCGATATTCGATCATACAGCTGCAAAATTTTTAATTTATGCAATGTCTATTTAACAGCTGGCTTAAACTGAAATTAGATTTTGATAGTTGAATCAAGTAACGTCTGGGCTGAATTAAAACTTTTGTTGGATAATTATTTAAAAGATGAAAGGGAAGCAACACGAAATCTATCAACTCTACTTCATGTTTTCTCTGTTTACCAATTATCAACTTGATGGATTTGATTAATCTAGTGGAATCAGATCTAAACTAAGGCTGGAAGTAGAATAAAATTTTTTAAATCCTTTCAAATCCAATGACTTCCCAAATCATTAAGCATTTTTCAAATCGAAAGCAGCATCTACATAATAAGTTAATTAAACAATCGATGACCGTTTCTATTCAGCAAAAAAACATCAGGTTGTTCGAAAAATAGTTGATCTTATGTATAATTATCTAGCTCTTCTATTAAGATAACAAATAATCATATTTACATAACAAAATAACTCCTTAGCTGCTCGGAACACTGAGAAAAAAAAGAAATGAAAATATAGTAAAGAAGTGGTGATGGCAAATCTGATGAAAGAAATTCTCGAGATATTAATTTTCACGAATTATTCGTAATTTCTTGTCCAAAAATCCGTCAACTTCCACTTCTTAATCTACACAATCATTGGGAAATCTAAGATTATAGGAAAAAAGAACTGGATCGGGAAATACCAATGAATACAGAGAACTAAGTGTATATATATATATATATATATATATATATATATATATATATATATATATATATATATATATATATATATATATATATATATAT